AAGATTGCCGACTAAAATTTTCTTGTCTCGACCGTTCAGCAAACGCTCCTCGGACATGCCCCGGTCTCCGCTGCCGGAGCCCTCCGCGGCACTGGCCTTTTCGTTTTCCCCTTCAACACCGCCACACCTCATCATTGCTCTGGAAGCACGCCCACACTTTCTGCGACCACACTCACTTCCACCACTACAGCAACCCCGGGTGAACGCTCTCCGGCGAGCCACCACCAATGGAGGGTCCGGATGATCGACCCTACTACCTCACACCCAACGACGTCGCCGACTGGTGCGTCCCTCTTTGTCGTGGATGGCGGTGTTGATGGTGGTTATCTCGTTCTATTTATACGACGTTGGATTCATCTGTTTAGTTCCACCACCACCACACAAAGTCACTCCGGAGACGGTCACTGTTCTCCTCTCCGCCGTTGTGCGTGTGTGTGTTGATCGTTCTGCAAGATGGTGGTGTGTAGTGTCGCGCTGTGTGTATGGGGTGGATGACCATCAACAAGGTGGACACGACATCCGATCTCTCTTCATTATCTCCTCTTTCCTCTTCTTCATCACCACCAAAAGTTAAACGGTAATATCACCCGTGGCCACAGAAGTTGTTCTCTTATTTCAGCCACCGCCCATTTTTTTTACCGACACATAAATAATATAATAAGGCTGCTTGTGCAACACTTGTATCACCAGCGGGGTCGTTCCGCTGGCCGGACCTTTACACTTTTATTTCACGTCATGTCGCGTGGCTGTTGCTGTTTGACTGCTGTTGTTGATGTGGTTTATCTCTTTGTCGCCTTCCTTTTTCTCACATTGGGATAGCGCGGTCATGACCCGACCTAACACATGGATGTTGATGGATGGGACGTGCACAGGCTCAAGCTCAACTACAAGCTGGGCAAGCAGGGGCACATGGCGAAGAGCACGATCTACAACGACTACCTCGAGCTGTGCGAGGAGCGCGGAGCCAAGCCCATCATCTCACCCACCTTTTTCGGCAAGGTACATCTCGGTCACCACCTCCCTTCTCTTTCGTTTTGTTGCCTTCGCTTTCTGGCTTTCGCTTTCGTTCTTTCTCATCGTCTTCTCTCTTCTCTCTTTTTCGCCTCTCAGTTGGTGAAGCGGGCATTCCCCGGTATCCAGTCTGTGCGCAAGGGACCCCGCGGCCAGGTCCGCCAGTGCTACGCCCGGCTCAAGAAGCGCAAGAACCAACTGGTCGCCGCCCCTCATGGCGGTGCCGGCGCCTATGACGGCCTGTCGCCAGCCGGAGCGCATCACCAGACACCAACAACGACAACTCCGCCGCTCGATCTGACCGTCGGACAGCAGCAGCAGCTCCACGCGGCCGCCTACCAGCAGTACTACCAGCAGCAGTTTGCGGGGCTGCACGCGGCCCAGTACGGCCTGGCCGGCCACCACTACGCCGCTTACCCCGGCCTGGCCGGTCAACAGCACCGGACTGAAGTCGATCGACCGGCCCAGCAGCAGCAACACTACGTCGACCATCACCATCTGCTCCAGCAACACCAACAGCTCCCGCAGCTCGAGGTGGTGCAGCACCACCTGCTCGCGCTCCGGGGCCGAGTTAAGGAAGAACAGCAGAACCAGCACCAGTACTCCGGCGGTGGCTCAGGAGGCGGTAGCGGTGAGGCCGCCGATGACGAGCGAAACTACGGCTCTCCCGGCCAGCACCATCATCAGGCGGGGTCCCGGGGCTCGTCTGCCGTGGCCGATGGCTACGGAAGAGGAGACTCGGCGGCCGCCGATGCAGCGTCGACGCAAGGCTCGTCGCCGCTCCTGTCCTCGTCGCTGTCGTCGTCTTCGCCGGCCTACAACCTGCTGCCGCCGCTCCAATCGAGCTCGCTGCACCAGCACTCGCCACTTCTCTACTCTGCCTTCCACTCACCGGCCGACGCCGCCAGCCACTATGGTCTGAGGCACCACCAACAGCCCGCCAACAGCAGCAGCAGCGCTGACGACCTCTCGGGGTCAACCTCCGCCCAGCGGACCGCCTATGCGTCCGCACTGGGCAGTTTTTCCCACTTCCCGACCACCACGTCGTCGATCAGCGCGCACCCGCCCACCCCGAACTACAACAACCTTGATTCCTCCTCTTCGCCCAATCTTCTGACCTCGCCCACCCTCCCGCCACCCTCGCCGCTTTTCCCTCCTCTCTCATCTTCATCATCGTCTTCTTCCTCGTCGCAGATCTACATGCCCGCGCACCACCAACAGCACCATCAACAGCAGCAGTCGCCGACCTATCCCTACTACTATCGCACATCAACGGAACAACACTACACCCACACGAGCTCGCCGCCAGGGTCGTCGCCCTCGTCGTCCCAGCACCTCCAGTCCCAAGCTCCGCCTCCGGCCATCCTCCACCCTCCGCTCACGCACCCCGGAGGCGCACACTACGCCATGCGGCTCACGCCGCTGCCGCCCTACCCCAGCAGCTACACATCGCTCCACTCCGGCGCCGGCGGCTCGGATAGAGCGTCAGCGGGGGCTGATGACACCGAAGGCGCTCGCCGTGGCAGCTGATGATCTTCACTTGACGCCATAAAGCAAAGAAAACTGAAAGAACGAACACTCTTTGCTCTGTAGTTCTTGAGCAGGTGTTCCAACCGTTGCTTGTTGCGTGCTTGGGAGAAGGGAAAAGTGGAGCGGGCGCGTTAGGCCAATCGGGTGTGTTGGTAAGAACAGGAGGAACCGATTGGTTGGTACATCGGAACCCACGAAAAAGCTCGTAGCCTGCCGTGTTGTGCATGACTTACCTTACACGCACCTTGGATACGCAATTAAGATATCGGGGTCAATCAAAGAATTCGACATAGTCAACATACTCCAAATATTCGAAGTTATGAAAAAGAAAAAAGAGCGAAAGAAATCAGGAAAGAAAGAATATCGAGATTGGCCGCAGAATCGATTAATCGCATTTTACCAAACTACATCTCTTGTGCACGTACTCGCGTACGCCCAAGCACATCATGCCGAGCGTAAGCCCTGCTGATCTGGTGAAGTTGCAGAGCAACACGCCGAATATACGCAACATTTGCGTACTGGCGCACGTCGATCATGGTACTACTTTTCATTAATTTATCAATTTATATTCTCCTTAATTTTTCAGAACAAGAGTGGAATGTCCAGGAAGTTTGTTAACAACGATTTTATTCATTAGGCAAAACGACGCTGAGCGATACTTTAATCTCCACGAATGGAATCATTTCCGCCAAGCTGGCTGGCATGATCCGCTACATGGACAGCACGAAGGAGGAGCAGGCCAAGGGCATCACGATGAAGGCCTCCTCCATTTCGCTCCTCTACTCACACGACCCGGCCAACCAGACCCACCCGGCGCCCGACGGCAAGGAGGAGCCCTACCTCATCAACCTCATCGACTCGCCCGGCCACGTCGACTTCTCTGGCGAGGTCTCCACAGCAGTCCGCATCACCGACGGCGCCATCGTGCTCGTCGACGTCGTCGAGGGAGTCTGCATTCAGGTACGCGCCGTGCCAGGGTTGTCAGAAAGCGCACTTCTATTATCTTGTGGCGTGTAGGGCTGACGTCACGGTGGTGTCGTGAATGCACCAACAGACGCAAGCAGTGCTGCGACAGGCCTACTCGGAGAAGGTGCAGCCGGTGCTGGTGCTGAACAAGATCGACAGGCTCATCTCCGAGCTGTGCCTGACGCCCACCGAGGCCTACCAGCGGCTACGACGCGTGCTGGAGGAGGTCAACGCCATCGCCGGCCGCCTGTGGAAGGAGCACTACGTCAAGAACATCATCGAATCGAGCGAGGCGGAGGACTGGGTCCTCGACGAAGAAGACGATGCCGACGTCTACTTCTCCCCCGAGCGCGGCAACGTCGTTTTCGCCAGCGCGACCGACGGCTGGGGATTCAGGGTTCACCACTTCGCCGACGTCTATCACAAGAAGCTGGGTACACGGCCGCATCACCTCTGGATCCGGTTGTGTGTGCGTGCTGGTGCCTTGATTGAGAGTGCTCACCTCGAGGTGGCTACGCTGCAGGAATCAGCCGAAAGCTTCTCCTGCGTTGTCTGTGGGGCGAACACTACATCAACACCAAGTCCAAGCGAATCTACGCCAATGACCAGTCCGGCAAGCTGCCGCCCATGTTCGTGCAGTTTGTCCTCAAGAACATCTGGGATGTTTATAGCGCTGTCAATAACAAGTACTCTCAACGCCACGCCACCCACCCGCTGCCATCATTGATTTCCCGTCGGGGCTGATGTTGACCACCATGTTCCATACATCAGGAACGAAAAGATGATCGCCAAGATCGTGAAGCTGCTGGAGCTGAACGTGCCGCCCCGTGACCTTGCCAGTAATGACCCGCAAATCGTCAAACGAGCGGTCATGGGCGCCTGGCTGCCCGTATCCACCGCCGTGCTAGGCCTGGTTGTGGAGCACTTGCCCAGCCCGGTCGCGGCTCAAAAGGTACTCCACTTGTTTAACTCCGATAATCGCGAGAGACCCGACATAATCAACTCCGAATGGATGTGCAGGTCCGCATTCCGAAGCTGTGGCACTACCTCACGGGAGTGGACCCCGCTGCTTCACTCGAGTCGCGCGAGCGATACGATCGCATGGTCAAGGGCGTCCTTACCTGCGACCCCAACGCCGAGGACGTGGTCGTCTACGTCTCCAAGGTCTTTGCGGCTGATCGCGAAGTGGCGCTTCCCGCCCGCAGCATAGCCCACATTCGGTATCGCCGTCACTTTTGCGCGTTGTGTGTGTGTGTGTGTGTGTGTGTTGGCTCTAACATGGTTGAATCTGCAGAGTGCCTCCACGAACGGCACGCCCGGCAGTAGCACGACCGGTGAGACGACCAGTGGCCTCGCCAACGGCAAGCGCCGCCGAGTCGCCGGTGATGGGCGCGACGAGCGAGCAGGCAGCACCCTCGGCCAGGCCGCGACCGGCTGGGCGACGGGGCGCCGAGGCCGACGGAGGTGTCGCCGCGGCGGACCGTAGCCGATCGCCATCGCCGAGTGTGCGACCTCAACAGCAGCAGGAGAAGGCCAACGAGGACGAGCGGGAAAAGGAGGCCGAGAAGGAAGCGGAAGCTGAGCCTAAGCCCGTCGACGAGAAGAACAAGAAGCCGCAGAGCGATAAGGTGTTTGTGGCGTTCGCGCGCATCTTCAGCGGTACCCTCCGGGCCGGGCAGAAGGTGCACATCCTCGGCCCGCGCTACGACCCCAAGCATCCCGACCGCTACTGCTCCGGTACGTAGCACCTGGCCACACGCACGCACACACACACGCACACACGCACACACTTGATATGCGCGCACAGCGTGGTACAATATGAAGTCTTACGTGGTGCGTGCGTTACCGTTTTGGCCGCAGAGGTCGAGTTGAGCGAGCTGTACATGTTGATGGGCAAGGAACTGGAGAAGATCCCGTGTGCGCCCGCGGGTACGGTGTTTGGTATCGGCGCGGTGGAGGACATCATCCTCAAGACCGCGACCGTCACCACCAACCCCGCCTGCCCCTCCTTCCTCCCCATGACCTTTGGCGTACGAGCCTCCACCCTCCTACAACTAGCGTGCCGTGCCGCATGCAGCGCTAACGTGTGATCATGCTCTATGCTGTGTGCTCATTACAGTTCAATCCGATCGTGCGTGTGGCGGTGGAGGCCAAGAATCTGTGTACGTTTACTCTGCGCCCACTCTGTCCTCTTTCACCTTCATCTATACCGTGGCAGCTGCTCCCGATGATGAAAACCTAGGCACCTTCATGATCATTACCAAACTAAATCATAACTAGATAATAACACGAACTAAATAACAACATCACTACATGATTACTCTTTAGTAGACTGAATGGGAGCCCACGCACTGTCCAGCTGTAAACGTGTGTCTCTGTTTTCCATTGTTGACTTACACGCATCCTTGGTACACAGCGGAGATGCCGCAGCTTGTGGAGGGTCTGCGACTGCTCAATCAAGCCGACCCTTGCGTGAAGACACTTGTACAGGAGACGGGTGAGCATGTCATCATGGCCTCGGGCGAGCTCCACCTCGAGGTACAACTCAACGAAGAACAAACTGTTTTCAGTTGCTGTTGTGCTCACCACAAGGTGGATCTCGCTCGTCTATTTACTCTAGCGATGCCTGCAAGACCTCAAGAACCGCTTTGCCAAGATCGAGATCGAGGTCTCGCCTCCGCTTGTGGCCTTCAGGGAGACAATCATGCCCGAACTAGCGCGAGGTAGGCCCTCCACAACAGCGCAGATTACGTTCTGTTTTCGTTTGGCGTCCGCGTGGTCGCTGACTGTATTCTGTGCGTGTGGCTCTAGACAAGGAGGACTTTGTGGAGATGTCGACGCCCAACAAGCAGCTGACGATACGGCTGCGCACGGTGCCTCTGCCGCAGCCGCTCAAGCAGTTCCTCGAGGAGACCGCCAACCAACAGATCATCAAGAAGATGCTCGACACCGCCAAGGCCGAAGAGGAGGCCCCCAAAGACGCCAGCGGTAACCTTCCTCTCGTTGGTCAAACATTTAAAATCTTTTTAATTCCAATTAATCGACTGATGATTTGTTGGTCACTCTTCTGTGCAGTGCAACCGACGGCCGAGGCGGAGGAGCTGACGCGACTGCAGAAGGAAAAGGCGGCGAAGGAGGCCGAGAAGCTGGCCGTGTTCCGGGAGAAGTTCGTGGAGGCCTTCAAGGCCGAAGACGGTGCCCGCTGGCTCGATGAATTCCAGTCGTACGCCAACCATCATTGCCTCGCCTCGCCTTGAGCTCGAGCCACTGGACGAGACCAGATCAGGGACTAACTCGTAACCCGCAAATGCACCATTTGGCGTTACGGTACAGACACCTGTGGGCGTTGGGTCCTCACGGCGTGGGCTCAAACCTGCTGCTCAACCACGTGCCCAACTACTGGGACAGCAGCTCGTGGATGCCGCTGTCGGTCAAGCTGGGCTTTTCCGACGCACGACAAGCCATCCACTCCAGTTCGTTCCACCCCACACTCTACGATCCAACTCATTGTCTTACGCACCACACACACACACACACACACACAAGATGAGGAGCACGCGGACAGGAACAAAGCGCTGCGCGACCTGAACAACAGCATCGTTAGCGGCTTCCAGCTGGCTTCGATCGCCGGCCCGCTCTGCAACGAGCCCATGACCGGCGTGGCCTTCATCGTCGAGGAGATCCACCTCCAGCAGGAGCAGCAAGCCGACAACGCCGACGACGAAGCCGAGGAGGAAGACGAAGACGACGACTTTGCCGCGATGGGCATCCCCAAGCCGACGGCCCGGCCGCTGGGCGGCAGCAGCGCGTACACGTTCCCGCCAGCCTTCATGGGCATGGTGATCTCGCTGGTCAAGGAGGCCTGCCGCCGGGTGTTCCTGACCCACTCGGTGCGGATCGTCGAGCCCATGTACCTGTGCGACATGTACGTGAGCGCCCAGGCGCTGGGCAAGGTGCTGGGCGTGCTGGGCAAGCGGCGCGCGCAGATCGTGAACCAGGAGATGCGCGAGGGCAGCAGCGACGACTTTGCCATCACCGCCTACCTGCCCGTGTTCGAGAGCTTCGGCTTCGCGCTCGAGATGCGCGACCAAACGTCGGGCGCGGCCAACGCGCAGCTCGTGTTCAGCCACTGGGCCGTGATTGACTCGGACCCGTTCTTCAAGCCCACCACGCAGGAGGAGCTCGAGGAGTGGGGCGACAGCGTCGACACCCTCCCGCCGCCCCTCTCCAAGCGCATCATCACCGACGTCCGCAAGCGCAAGGGCCTCATCGTCCAGGAGAAGCTCGTCGAGCGCGCCGACGCCCAACGCAACCTCTCCCGCAAGAAGTGATCACAACCACCCTCGCCCCGCCTCACACCAAAAATAAACATAAAAATTTTGCCAAGTACATATAATTATTAAGATTAGTTTTGTTTGCTTTATTTGTTTTATTTGTTGGGCCGTTCCGTTCCAATTGGAAAATAATAATTATTAATTAAGGGTGTTCATTGGAGGTGCCACGGAGGCCAAGGCAATATTCGAGTGAGCCGAAGCAAGACAAGAGGAGCACCCATCGATGGATTGGTGGTCGGTGAAGTTGAACGACATCGGCAACCTCCTGTGGGGCGACGCGCCCACGCAGGGGGGCGGCCCCCTTTCGCCCCGCGCGTCTACCCGCGGACCACCGGCCCAGCCTGTGACTTCATCCACCCCCGCCCCCTCTTCATCTTCATCATCTTCATCTTCATCTTCTTCCTCCAAACTGAGTACTCCTCCCGCGTCCCCGCGAGGCACTCCTTCCTCTTCTTCTTCGTCGTCCACCCCTCCATCCTTGTCATCTTCGTCATCTTCGTCGGCAGCCGCAGATGATTTCAAGGCCGCTACGCCGGCCGGGGAGGACGTGCCCAGGCGGCGGTGGACGTCGCGCCCCAAGCTCAAGTCGCTCAACGATATCGAACAGAAGTACCACTCCATGGGCCACCGCCAGCAGCTCCAGCAGCGCGGCCCCTCGGCCAAGGACCTCGACGTCACCGTCTCCTCCGACGCCTCCTCGTACGTTTCTCTTTCATGACACACAACACTAACCGCACACGCACATATCGCACACACTAACCGCACGCACACGCACGCACACGCACGCACACGCAATCTAGGCAAGGGAAGCATCGCACGACGCTGGGCGCTAGCGAGATCGAGGGAACGTTCATACAGGGAGGAAGCGGCGGTGGCGGCATCGGAGGTGCGAGCGGCGCTGGCGGAGAGACTGAGGAGTCATCGTCGACGAAGCTGCACTTCCTCTTTCTGCACGCGTGCGAGGAGGGCGACGTGGAGCACGTCCACACGCTTCTGTCCATGTTCGGCGGGAAGGAGCTGGACGTCAACGTGCGCAAGGCCATCGCCTCGCCTGAGGACGCCGCGCAGCAGGACGATGACGATGCCGCCGCCGGCGAGAGCGACGGCATTCGGCGGCAGCAACACTTCAACACCTTCAACATCAGCACCAGGGTGCGTGTGTGCGATGTGTGCGGTGTGGGCGGTGTGGGCGGTGCGTGGTAGGTGGCTTGGCTGACTGGGCGCATGGTTGTGGCAGAGAACGACGAGCGACGACTTCAAGGTGGGCGAGGTGACGGGCCTGTTCTTGGCCTCCATCAGTGAAAACGAGGACGGAGGCGAAGAAATCGTTTTCCTGCTCAAGGAGAACGGGTACACCATCCTTTCATTTTTTTGAGCTTTAGCTTGCACTGTGAATCGCTTCGCTGACTCTCATTTCGATCGCGCCCACCAGTGCCGAGGTGGATGTGCCGCTGCAGCCCGAAGGCTACACTCCTCTCTTCATCGCCGTAATGCGAGGCAAAGAGCGCATGGTCAGGTACGTACCGATCACAACGCTGGCTCGTTTAACTCCGATAGATAGACTTCGCGCTCACGTCTCCCTGCCCTGGCCGCTCTGCGACAGAGTGCTGCTGGAGAACGGGGCAGCGGCAGACAAGAAGGTCGGCGGGTCCACGCCGTTCTTCCTCGGAGCTAAAATCGGCGTCGGCCGGCCCATCCTGCGCATCCTCCTCAAGTTCTGCCCGTCGCTGGTCCACGTGCCTCACGACGACGGCCGGACGCCGATCTTCGTCGCTGCCATGTGCGGTCACAGGTGCGTCTGTTTGCTCGGAGCTAAACTCGCAGCAGTTCTAACTCCGAATGCTGTGCAGGGATGCGGTGGAGGTATGCATCGATGCCGGCGCGCAGGTGAATGAGCCCGTGGACGGACTCACGCCCCTCCTGATCGCCTGCTACAAGGGCCACGTCAGCGTCGTCGAGCGACTGCTCGAGACCGGCCAAGCCGACGTCAACATGTGCGCGCTCGACGGCACCACGCCCCTCTTCATCGCCGCCCATCGGTGCGTCGTGCCTTCATTTATTTTTCTCAACAGCCCGCTGTTTTTCTCACTCTTTGGATGGTGCTGACTTGTTGGCTTTGACGCGCAGCGGCCGCACGAACCTGGTGCAGCTGCTGCTGGCCAAGAACGCCAAAGTCAACCTGCAGCACAACGACGGCCGCACTCCGCTCTTCGTGGCCGCCCAGGTACGCTCTTCTGTGTCGTGTGCGTGTACGTGTACGTGTACGTGTGTGCGATGATGTGTGCAGTGGTGATGTGTACGTGTGTGCGGTGATGACACGATCAAGCTCACACTCGGTTTGTGTCACCGAAAAGTTCGGTCACGCCGAGGTGGTGGAGCTGCTGATTGCCTACGGTGCGGACGTGAACCACACGCTGCCCGACGGCTACACAACGCCGCTCTACGTCGCCACGCTCGAGGGCCACACCGAAGTGATGGACCTCCTGCTCGGGGCCGGTGCCATCGTGAGTGTGGACGAAGACGAGCTGCTCGAATACCCCGAGGAGCAGGTGCAGGTGCAGCAGCCCAAGAAGGGCGCCCTCAAGAAGGCCACCTCAGCTCGCAGCTTTGGCAAGGTATCTTATTACCGCACACGTAGCGCATCACCACCGCTCGCACGTCGCACACGCACACACCGCACACGCGCGGCACAACGCGCGATTGATGGGAGCGGTGTTCGCGAACAGTCGAAGGTGGAAAAGGCGCGCGAGGCGTCGATCGAGATCTCGGGTCCCACCAACTTCAAGAAGCTCTCCGCCACGGGTCCGGCCTCGGCCCAGCAGGAGGTCTCCAAGGTGGTCGTCCAAATCGAAGAGGTACAGAAGAGCCAAAGCTAATCATTAAGTGCCTGCCTTAGTCGCTCACCTTTTTCTTTTTCTTTTTCTTTTTCTTTCTCTGTTGTTCTGTTTCTCTTTTCTTACAGACGCGTAAGCGACGCATCAAGGCCTTCATTCGCGCCGACTTGGTACTTTTTTTTTTACCGCGCCTGGCGTGCGGGTGGTTGGAATGGCCAGGGACTCACCAGTGCTCCTGCACAGACCTTCAAGAGCCTCATGGAGCGAGGCAAGGCGGCGAGCGCCTCGCCCGAAGACGCCCAGCGCGTGCAAAGTACCCTCTCCCCCCTTTCGGCTACGTCGACGCGTAGCGTGTCGTCGTGTGTGTGTGCGGTGGCGCATGTGTGCGTGTCGTCGTGTGCGTGTGCGGTGGCGCATGTGTGCGTCGGATTCCAGGGTTGATGGTGGTCTTCCGTGCGTGATTGTAGCGCTCTACTCGAAGTACCGGGACATCTACCTGCCCATTCTGCACCCGGCCGTGGAGAAGCCCATCCAGCTGGACCCCAAGGACGTGCGCGCCGACGCCGACTGGGCCGAGGAGGAGGGCGTCAAGCGCGCCTACACCGAGGCCCAGCGCCTCCGGTCCGTCCCGCCCGGGCCACCCTCTTGCCCCCAACGCAAGCCACAATTTTAACTCCGAGCGCTGCGTCGATACAGTGAGGAGATGCGTCCGTTGCACGAGATCAGGGCGCTGCTGACCCACGAGCACCGACCCGTGCTGGGCACTCTCATTTCTGGTAAAGACGCGTCTCTTCGTTCTTTTTTCCATCGTACCTATAATTCATCGCCGTATGTGTATCTTTTAGCTCCGGTGACGTTCAGATCAAAGTCGCCCGATGAGCTGCTTCGCCTGTTTAAGGACCAACAGACCGTGGACCACTGGCGTCGGGTCATCGAAGCCATCCACCCCCTGCCCGCCCCCGCCGTACCTGCTCCCTTCCCGGTTGCCCCTGTCGTTCATTTACTGACGTGAGGGTGACGCTGCGTGCCGGGCTGTGCGTGCGTGCCGTGTGGGTGGGTGTGTGTGTGTGTGGTGTGTCGTGCGTGTGGTGCGTGTGTGTGTGCCGTGTGTGCCGTGTTTCACAGATCACGCCTCCGAGCGGAAGCAGGATTTTGCCGCCGAGGCCGCAGGCGCCGCCGCCCTCCCCGGAGGAGCTCGCCCGCATGAAGCAGGAGGTGCAGGAGGAGGTACCTCCCCCCTCCCTCTCTCTCATTCTCTCTTTCACATCATTAGTCGACTATTCGTTGACAGACTCTCTTCTTCATGGGATGAACAGCTGGCGCGGCTGGACGAGAAGGAGAAGGAGGTGAGGAAGCAGCAGCAGAACGTGGTCGACTTTGGCGCCTTCTGCGAGGAAGTGGTCAAGCGCGCCACCAACTACTTCAACATCGAGCGCCTCGTCACCACGCACCGCAAGCTCGCCCAGGGTACGTTGCCCCTTGGCAAGGGGCGGTCGTGGTGGTGGTACTCAAAAGCCGTCTGGTCGGTGGTGTGGCGATAGACAAGAGACAGGAGCTGGTCAAGGCGGTTCACCAGGAGCTCGAGGAGGAGCTGCAGATGAAGAAGAAGAGGATCGTCGAAGAGGCCGAACGTCAGAAGCGCGAGGAGGAGGAAGCCGCAGCCGCCGCGCTCGATTCTACATTCGTGCCTCCTCCGCCGCCCTCCGTGCAGTCTTCGCCTCGCGCGGGGCCACCGCTCCCGCCGCCCCGTAGCTCGCGCGCCCCGCTGCCCGGTACCCTCGCCAACTGTCATTTTTAGTTCCGAGCCGCTGGGTTTTTAGCTCCGAACACTGACGCCCGTGTGCGTCGACGAGCAGAGAGGCTGGCCGAACAGCAGCACAATTCTGATAACAGGTACGGCGATGCCGAAGAGGAGGAGGAACAGCAGCAAGACTCGAGGAGCAAGCGACAGTCCGTCTGGGTGCCGGGCGGCGCCAGGCAGCGTCAGCGACGAAGGTACGCAAAGACTCACTCACCATCTCGCACAACATCCGATCAGCATCTCATTTGTGCGTGTCGTGTCGTGCGTGTCGTGTCGTGTGTTCATCGTGTGTGACGATTGTGTCGTGTTCAGTATAATGACGAGGATGATGATGAGGCGGAGCATCCAACTGACGAACGTGCCTGGCACGCCGCCCTTCACCACCGCCAACCCGCCGCCGATGTGGTCCCGCATGCCGTCCCTCGGCTCCAACCGCACCGCCACGTCCCATAACCCCGAAGACCCCGCGTCGGCCGACGTCGAGCAGCAGCCAGCGCCCTCCGACGACAACGCCGGCTACCACTACGGCGACGAGCAGCAGTCGCAGGAGCAGGAGCAGCAACACGAACACGGAGCCGAGTACCCGGAAGAGGAGGTGGAGCAGGTGGAGGCCTATCCCGAGTACGACCCGGAGACGGAGTACGCCTACCACTACGACGATGAGGCGTTCGAGGACGTGGACCTCAAGGAAGCCGAGCTCTGGTGATGTTTCTCGCATTGAAGAGGAGGTCATAATCGATTTTTTGTGAGCGGGCGTTGGCTACACGGCCGAGTTTATGTACAATGCCTGGTGTGGGCGGGGCGTGGGTGGTCACCACCACGCGCGGTAGTGCTGGGGGCGATGGCCGTGATGTTGCTGGGGCAGTTCGTCGCGTTGAAGGGCCGCACGCCGACCACATTCCCTAAACAGCAGCCGGCGCCGTCAGCTCATGGCTATGGGTGAGAGAGGAGCGGGGAAGGTACCGGGAGGGGTGTAGTTGCACACGTAGAAGGTCCAGTTGGGGAACTGCTCGCCCAACGGGCTGTTCTCTCGGCAGTAGGCCATGCCACAGCCCACCGCCCGCGTCGTGTTCCACACCACCTGCAGGCCCCACAGCAGCGTAGCCAGTTGGGGTCTTATTTCCAACAGTGACTTAGAGAGACTTAGAGCCAGTTCCTGCTCACCTGCGTGTAGTGGCCGCAGGTGGCGTTGGGCCGGCACTGGTTGGTGGTGCAGTTGTAGTCCTCCCCCTCCTCCCCCCAGACACGCACGGCATCAGGAGCCGACAGGTGCTCTGAACAGCCCACCACGCTCTCGCCGCATTAGCTCAACTTTGCTGTGTGGGTCGGTGCGGTGGGTGGTGACACGCACCGTCGGAGCCGGCGGCGATGTTCTCCCCGTAGAGGGTGTTGTTGGGGTTGTGGGCATAGGTGCAGCGGTTCGCGTAGGCCTGGGCAAAGGCTGCAGCTTCCGCGCTCCAGTTGAGCGGGCGCAGGTTGACAGCCCTTTGTTGCAACAAAGCAGTCACCGTCACGTGAGTAGTTCATCAAAGGGGATCTCTGCGGAGGAGTGGAGGGCATACGCGCGGTAGCAGTTGTGAGTGGCCAGCACAACTTCGATGTCGGCCGAGGTGAGGTTACCCCTGGTGGTGGTGGTCAAGTTCTGGCGTGGGACTAGCCCCCAGGCAGGCGCCGGGCCACTACCCAGCGACACCAAAACCACCGCCAAGTTGAGCAGCAGTAGCAATGTTAGGCTAGTTTTGTTGTTCAGCATCAAGCTTGGAGTGGAGAGTGATCACAAGCGGATCACCCGCAAGCTTTGTTTGATGGCAAAGGACCGACAGAGGACTTTTCCTGCGAGGGGTCGGTGAGCCCGACGACAAGGCGAAGGCATTCCGGCGGAACCGCTGAAGAAGACGAGAGACAGGCGTTGAAGTCGAAGAATGAGGGATCAACATGTGGAATGTTAGTGTACAGAGGGGTGGAGGGATGCATCAGCCTCGCAGCAGGCTGTCGGTGGGAAGGGATTGGGAGATGAGCGAAGAAGAAGACGAAGACGAAGAAGACGAAGAAAGAAGAGAAGAAGAAGGGGTGGGAGGTGAAGAAGAGGCAGAGGAAGAAGAAGATGATGACGATGATGATGATGAAGAGGAGTTGAGCGAGTGGGAAGCGGGTGACCACTTGGCGTAGCAGTCGTCGCACACGCGGGAGGCCTTGCCGCCGGACACACCCGGCAGGACCGTGCGGTGGGCCGAGCATCCGCTGCACAGGAATCGCTCGCACGCCCTTTCCACCCAACCACCCATCAGAAAACGAAGACATAAGAACGAAAGCGAAAATGAACGCGAAAGCGGGCGGGGGGGCGCACTTGCAGCGGTGCCTCCTCTTGGCGCGGGAGAACGACGCGGCGCACACGGCGCACTGTGGCACGGCGAGCTCGCTGGGGACCTCCCAATGATCTCGGGAGACCCGACTCGACACTGTGATCGAGTGTGAGCTGCCGACAAAGCTGTGAACCACCCACCTGTCGGGGGGCACGAACCTTGAGAGCCGGCTTTGCCTTTGGCCTCCTTAGCGTAGACCTCCTGTTCCCTCTTCATGCCTATCGCACTTCGTGTGCGGACAAGCCTACGCACCACGACACGACACGACACGACACGACACGACACGACACGACACGACACGACACGACACACGCACAACACACATGAAGAGACTTAGAACAGGCCCCCCAAAAAAATGGAGCAAAGCGCGAAACGGAATGCGGTACCTGGGTTTTCGGTCGCTCTTGGGGCTGATCGCGTCGGCCCTCTCCCAATCGCCGATGGTCGCCTTCCTCCGTATTTGCCGCCTGTCGGCTTCGGCTTCGGTCTCGACCCCGACGACAACGACCGGGTCGGCCTTCTGCAGCTCACCGCCGCCTCTTCTGTTGTTGGCGCTGTCGACGGAAAACGACAGAAGTGGCTGCCGGTGAGGCTTTGTCTCCTCGGCCTCCTTCTTCCCGCTCTTCCTCCGCTCCTTCTTCTGCTGCTTCTTCGCCTTGGTGGTAGCGCTCGGCGGCGGGACGTCTTCGGCCTCCTTGCCCTTCGCTCTTCGCCTCAGCGTCCGTCGCACCTTGCCGCTTTTCGCTTTCCTCTCTTTCTTTTCGTCCGATTCGTGCTTCGTTCTTTTGCCGCTGCCGTCGTCCTTCGTTCTTTCGTCGCCGCCGCCCGTTTCATCGGAGTTAGATACCGGCGCCGGCGCTGGCGCGGAGGTGGTGCTCTGCTGAACCTGCTTGAGCTGCGCCCACTCCTTGGTGTGCTGTTCGATCTTCTTCTCCATCTCGTCGAGGTTGATAGGCAGCAGGGCCGGCGATGAGATGCATCGGGCGGCCGTCACCGAGTCCGACGGCGGCGGACCGAAGAGCGGCGCGAAGGAGTCGGACGGCGGCCGCGCGGCAGCAGACGAGAGGAAGATGGCCGAGCCCGAGGCTGAGTCGGACGACGGGTGGATCGACGCGCGGGGCGAGGCGACCTGCAGGAACGGGTAGGCCGCCCGCAGCTTGGTGGAGGGAGTGCGCGTGAGGAATGTCGATTTGTGGGGTGCCATGCGGAGCTGGGGCCGCAGGTCGGGCGACCCCGGCGGTAGCAGCTGCACGTCCACATCGCCCATCTCGCCGAGGTCGTGCACCAGACCTTGCGAGAGAATATGATGAGAATTCATCGCACACGATGCACACGATGCACACGCACGCACACGACACACGACACACGCACACAACACTCAGGGGAAGGTACCCTCGGGGGTCCAGGGAGTGGCCAGGCTCGGGCGAGGGGCGCGACCAGCGGGACGAGGACCGCGCGCCGACATGACCGGCTTGGGGTGAGGAGGAGCCGATGACGCCGGCCTCGTCTCCGCGTTGTCTTCCGAGCCCTCTTTCGTGTCATCGCCGTCGCCAAGCGCCTTCCCATTGTCGCACGGCAAAGCCGAGGCGCCATCACCACGCGGCGAAGTCGGTCCAACGTCGCGCGGCGAAGCCAGGGCGCCACCTCCACGCGGCGGCATCGGTCCAACGTCGCCACGCGGTGAAGTCAGGGCGTGGTCACCACCACGCGGCGATGTTGGGTCGATGTCGCTGTCGCGCGGCGAAGTCGGGGTACTGCTGGCATTGTCGCGCGGCGGAGACGGGCCGTCATTGCAGGACTGCCGCGTCCTGTGCGACGCCGACAGGCTGAGCCGCTCGATCGGCGCGCCATCGGCCCGCGGCGACTTGGCCTTGATGTGGGCACATTCGTCGTCGACGAGTGACCCTTGTGCGTCGGTGCCACTCGCCCCTGCGGCCCTGTGGGGCAGGACCAGGCCCTCCCACACCGTCGGCGGCGGCTTGATCTGTTCGCTCGCCTCCAGAAGCGCGCGGTGGTGCTCCAGAGGCCCAACATCCGAACTCTGCTGCTCTCCGCTCGCGCTTCGTTCTTCCTCCGCGCCCTTGGCTTCGTTCTCCGCTTCTTCCGCTGCGGGTGCTAGTGGTGGTGTGGAAATGGCGGTGGCCGAGGCCGAGGCCGAGGCCGACACGGGAACTCGCTGTCTGGCGTCGGCGATGGCCAGCTGCACGAAGGCGATCGCGCCAGCACCGGTCCACACCTCCTTTTGTCGCAACCGGCCGCACAACACGCCTTCCAATTCGTCCAACAGCAGCTGCACCAGGACATTATTAGTGCAATTTTTAGGTGTGTAATATAAATATTATAATAATATATTACACACCTATTTAATGGCCTATATATCTATATTATGCCATTAAAAAAGGAGGTGGAAAGCTGCAACCCACTGCAATGATTTGGAGCCCCAAGGGAGTTGGCCGCGGCACTAAAACAAGAACAGGACCGAAAATCCTGTAGGCAAAGAGCGAAAACGAAGAACTGACGAGGAGCGTACATGAACGGCGGCGGCGTCCATGGCCCCACTCGTGCGTTTCTCTCGGGCTG